AGCTAAGTTTGTTTTCTTTTTTGTCTTTTTTTTGGTCTGAGTTTCCGACATTAACCAGGTTTAAAGTCTGAGCACCTCTGTAATTTTTTTTAATGATTCCCATTGGAAAGGCAAAAGATTCAGTATGTGACATTTTCCTTTCACTGAACAAACATTTTCAATGTCTTGAGGTGACAGTTGGCAAAACACAGCATGATTAATCTGGGGGCCTGCAGGAGTTCACCTTCAATGACTTCACAATAGACACCTGTGTGATAAAAACACACCTGAAGCAGCTGAGGAATAAACCCAGAAAAAGAACTGCATTAAAATAAAATATCCCTCTTTAAGTACTCTGAGTCGCAAGAACATAAAGGTTCTAACAAGAATGTACAAATTCAACATTTTAACATTATCAAAGCAGTAAATAGGTTGATAATACTAAAATTTCTTTAAAAAAGAAATTTTTTAAATGTCCAGCAGGTATTGTCATGGTAAGAACATGGGCAAAGAGGCAGAAGACATGGATTTGAGGTTGAACTCAAGAAGCTGTTGCTGATGGAAAGGGCACATGCTTCCTTGAGTCTTTGCTTCCTTTTTACAAAATGAGTTCTCAGAATATAAATAATATATGTGTCAGTGCTTCATAAAGCTGAGATTTTGTTTGTTTGTTTGTTTGTTTGTTTGTTTGTACCAGGACTGGAACTCAGAACCTTTCACTTGCCTGGCTGGTGCTTGTGCTGCTGAGCTATATCCCCAGCCCTAAGATGAGTATTTATTTCCTGGTGCTCTGCTTATCTTCATTTCTGAGAAAAATACACACATAAGTATGTAGTGTTTTCCTCCTCGTTTTTATTTATTGCATGTCACTTATTTTGCTTTATTTTTATCCATGGGAAAAATACATACATACATACACACATACATATATACATATATAGTTTTTCCTCCTAGTTTTCATTTATTGCACATCACTTGTTTTGCTTTTTCTCTGGCTTCTGACTTTTCTGTTCCTCTTTCCAGGCAACCTTCAGGGGCATTTTTTTTTTTCTCGAACTGTGACTATTTCCCTTCCTCACATTCTCTGCTTCGCGGCTCTCTGGTAAGGAGCTCCAGTCTCCCATTACCTTTTCAAGAGTCTTCGCTTCCATTTGCAGAGGAGAGAGGAGCCTTATTTTTTAGGATAGAGAAATGGCTGTTTGGGGTTCACCTGGGAAGAAGTCACACTGCTTGGAGGAAACAGAACCACAACATGAGCCTAGTCCAGCTCTTACCCCAAGGCTTTATGCACAAAAACTCCAGCCAGGAACCCTTCTTCTTGCTTGGACATTAGATTCAAAGTGAACAACTAAATTCTCTCCTCTCCTGCTCAAAATACTCCTGGTTGTTGAAATCACAATTTTATATAGCTATGTATGTATGTATGTATGTATGTATGTATGTATCTATCTATCTATCTATCTATCTATCTATCTATCTATCTATCTGTCTATCAGCTACTAGCACCATGACTTCTATTTGTCAGTGGGCACTATGTGCCAGGTCTTATGCCAAATGTGCCATACAAGTAATTTCATCTAATGGACAAAATGCTGCATTTGCATGAAATTTTATGGATGAGGAGACTGAGATGCCCAGAGGGAACTGACTTGCCCAAAGGCACAAAGGTATAGGTTGAGTACTCTGAATCAAAAATTCCAACATCCAAAATGCTCTGCCATCTGAAACGTTTTGAGCACTGATATAATGCCTGCCACAAGTGGAAATTTCCACCCTGACTTCATGCAATGGATCAAAATAAAAGCACAGGTGCACTAAAAATTCATATAAAATTACCTCTAAGGTATGTGACAGCAGTGCGTATGAAACATAAATGACTTTTGTGTTTAGATTTTGTCCTATCCCCGTGATATCTCACTATGCATAAGCAGATATTCTGCCCCCCACAGTCCTGAATCCAAAACATTTCTGGTCCCAAGCACTGCAGATAAGAGATCCTTAACCTTCACTGCGTAGAGAAGCTATGGTTCCATAGCCAACTGACCACAAAACCCCAATCCCACCCCCAACTCTAGAATGTTCCTCCCAGGCCTGTCAAGCACCCCACAACTACCCTCATGTATCAGCCTGTCTTGCTGTCTATCTTTCCCACAGATTTGAATCTTACCTCTTCCCCCAGAAGTCCTCCTCAGGTGGGTCATCCCGGAGTTTAGAACATTCCTGTCTGAATGTGGGATTCTGGTGACCACAGCAGTCAGGCGCTCATTCATTCTTCTTCACTCTGAATCTTTCACTCAGCCACGCACAGGTACATTTGGGTTTACCTCAGCTGGGCTGAAGTCCTCGGCTGGGCTATGGTCCATCAGCGTCTCTGGTTGGCCAGCAGCTGCTTCATTTCTGTGGAAAAATAAGCAGCAGCCCAATGCATATTTCCAGCAAATGATAGATGGGTTTTATCTACAGAGCCAGGGCCCATAATACATACGGCTATGGGGCTTGTTGGCTCTGGACCCCACTTCAGGAGTCATGGTGGGGGAGTCAGCGGATGCGAAGGGGACCTGAAGCCACTTTACCTTAAGAGCAGATGGAAGAAGTAGGTGTGTTGTGTTGAGAAAAATTGACCTTATCAGAGGATTCCTTGAAAAGTGTGAGAAAGGTTGTCATGGGGAAGTGGGATTTGTCGCCTGTCACATGCCCCCATAAAGGGGAACCTGGAACCACAGACAAATGAGTGAATCACAAGGAAGGGCAGCTGTGCAAGTCCTCTTTTGGAAAGAGGCAGCACCTACACAGTCAGGACTCTGCCACATAGGGCAATGGCATTTCCCATTCCTTGGAGCCATTCAGGTAGTCACCAGGCAGGGCTGGCCCAGAAGGTGCACCCAGGGGCTCAGCTGTGCTGGCCTAGGAGGGCAGGACCTATAGATGCCAGGACTCAGTGGTGGCCTTGGGTATAGGCACCTCAGTAGGAGTGAGCCAAGAGCACAAGCTGGCTTGTCCTCAGGACTGGGAGGCCAATGGGAGGAGTCCCTCTGAAAGTGGAGGGTAGGAAGGGTTTGTAGCCACAGCTGAGCTCTGCTTTCTTGGTGGGCCAGTGAATAGCACCTCAAATGGTATTTGTGTGAACTCTTGACTTCAGCCCCTGCCTCTGGAGTAGATGTCCCTCAAAGACCTAAAGCTGGAGTGAGCCATGTGGATTCTGAGCTACAAGTGCTGTTCTCTTAAATGTAAATGGGGAGAGTAATAGCTTTTTCATTTAGGCCTTTCCTCAAATCTTACTTGAGAGACCTTCCCAGCTTTGCTTTTCCAATCAAGATTCCACACATCCTCAGCCTTCCTGATCCCTTCCTGCACCTGTTCTGTTTCTCTCTCTATTGCATGTCTCACCTTCTAATGTCCAGCTTAACTGGCTAACTCATCTCTGTCTGTCCACTCACCCTCCAATTCCAGTGCCATAGGGCAGGGGTCTTAACCTGCTGTGTCCCTGGCACTAATGTAAGCCAAGAAATCATAAGCGAGGCTGACAGAAGCCAAGACACTTTTGTTTGGGTGCAGAATAGATTTGCGCACTTGGGACACTGGCATAGTATCCACTGAGGTTAGGCAGGACCAAGCTTTTGAACAGAAGGAGCATGCTTGAGGAAAGATAAGCAGAAATGAAGTGGGCCCAGCAGTTGGAAACTGGCGCCAACTAGTATGGTCATGAGGTTTCTAAATCCACCGGAATGTAGAGGACAAGAGGCACACTGGTTAGTCTCCTGTTTGTCATGCTTTGCAATATATTGTCAGATTTTGGAAAATGGATATCTCTGTCAGATTCAGTCCTGATGTGATGCCTGTGTGACAACTTGCTCCTGTCAGAAGTGTCTATGAGGCATATAAAGGATATCTGCTTTCTTCTGGGCCATTCTGAGACCAGGTTGATTTTTTGTTATCATTAGAACAAGACCAGGCATGTGCGAGACACTTAACAAATATTTGCTGAGTGAATGCACGAAAGATATATGTAAAGTGTTCCACAGGATACCTAACGCCTTATTATTGCTGCTTGCTAGGTGTGACTTACAGATTCCTCAGGCTCTCTGGCCCTTGTCTGTAAAATGAGAAGAGCCACTAGATAATCTCTAGAGCGCCTTGGTACTCTAAAATTCTTAGCACTCCCAAGGGTGGAGAATCTGAAAGGCTCTTGCTCTGCTGAGTGTGGGGACTTAGAGCTCTTCCTCTATTTCTTTTGACCATGAGGATCAGAATGGGATGCCTACGTGGGATCATGAGTCAGCCCAGTATTTACTGGAACGGTTTCTATGTAGATATTTATGTGTTTTATTGTAATTAACTTTGAGGTGTCCTTTCACACCGATTTACTGTTTTCCAGAGAGGCAATTTATTATGGTGTGTGCATAATTAAAGGCCACTTAATTTTAATCCCTTTGTTAAGAATTTTCAGGGAAGTAAGTGGAGTTCAGAAAACAAAACTTGGGGGCCGGGGAGATGGCTCAGCAGAATAAGTGCTTCCCTGGCAAGTGCAAGGGCCTGAGTTCAATCCCCGGTTCTGCAAAAAAAAAAAAAAAGAAAAAGAAAAAAAACTTGGCAGACCAGGAGTCCTGTGTTGGGGTTTGGATGTGCTGTTCTCGTAGGTGAGGGTCACTCTGTCTTGCCCTTAGCAGGGCTCTGCTCTGAGCCTTGGACATTCTTTATGGGGGCATGGTCACCCTTGCAGGGCTTGGGTCAGCAGAGCTAAGCCATCTTCTCTTAAATCTCTCTCTGGAAGGGGTAGCCCAGAGCCCTTGGGAACCCTCCCAGTGGCCTCTGTGGGAGCAGTTTCAGGAGCAAAAGGCAGCTAGCTAGCCTCATGCTCCCAGTATTCGCTGAGTAACTGGGATGGCCTGGGATGGGGCAGACAGACAGGTCTGGCAAGTTCCATGTTGTTTATACTCACGATTACCTCACACATCCCAACCGGGTTTCCCCGCCCCATTTGGTGGGGGCCGGCCCTCAGCCTCAACCTCCTTTTCCCCACATGCCTGGAGAGCCAAGGGCTAACATGGCTCTTGCCCTGGACATCAGCTGAGACTTGAAGACTCATCCCTCTGAGGCTATGGAGAGGGGCAGCTGCCGGGTGAGTGGTCTGTGGGCCTTGGGGCTCCTCCCTGCCCTGAGGAGCAGGGACAGGGCTGGGAGGCAGGTAGGACACTGCCACCCTGTGTGGCTGGGGTTTTGTGGGAAACTGAATGTTCCTTTTTCCGGTTGCAAGCTACTTGACATTGGGAGCATTTGACCCTTTCTTTGTTGTGGTCCCCAGAAGGAGCCCCTGATGGGGGAGACTAGCTGATGGGGTTAGGGTCTGACCATTCACCTCAGGGCTGTGTGGCTGAATCTTGATTCCTACTGTGTGGCTTCTGAGCATTCTTCCCAGGACATCTGTCCCCATAGGCGGCTGACTCTGCAGTTAACCTGCAGAGCATCTAATCAAACCTAATTCTTGCTGGTTTGAGAATCAAGAGCATTTTTAACTAATCCTCAAGGCCACCTTGTGGAACCCATTCGCTAGATTCCTGAACCTTCCCAGGAAAATGTGGCTTTCTAGGTGCATTTAAGATTCTCAAGGGGATTTTTTTTCAGCCACTTTTGATCACTTATGTTTTGGTTTACTCATGCTCATGCTGGGGCAGGGCTTCCTTATTTATGCCTAACCACATTTCCTTCAGCTGCAGCCAAGATTCTTCTGCTCTTGGGGGTGACAGAGAGCAGCCAGAAAGTAGCTCTGCAGACCAGTCGGTAACCCACATGTGAAGCCTTCCCGAGGCGTTGTTCAACTGTGCCGTTGCCTTTTTTTCTTGAGAAAATTCCCTTGGTTCTCCAACTTTTCCTTCAGTCTTGTTTTTGCTCCTTTCTGCATTGTTTATATTTACTGATTTGGTAAGAAATGGCACTCTGGGAAGAATGAGCCTGAGCCAACCCTGGGTTTGAGAAAGATCAACCTATTCTCTATCCTAGTTGATGGCTGGCTTGTGGTCCCTTCTGAGCTCCGGATGTATTTCACCATCATTTCTCCTGTTATTCTTTCAGCTGTCCCTCTTGACTGTCTCCCCCAAGACCCTGGCTGCCTTGCTTGCCCTTTTCTCTGGTTTTCTTGATTCTTCTCCCCTTCACCAAGGTCTTTGGGTCTTGGCTCCTACAGCTCAATGGAGTACAGTGAGCAGAAAGGTGGTACACAGAACAGAATGGGATTTTGTCCAGAACTTGGGGAAAATGAATCTAGAGTCATAGCCATAGTGTGTCCTGTTCCATAGCTTGTTGGGAGCCTAAATTTGATGGTTCCTCAACCAAACAGGTGGCCATGTGCCTGTTAGAGTTGATGGTAGGGGTAGAGGCAGGGGCAGGGTGATGAGGGTGCTGTCTGCAGCTCATCTCTCCAGAGTGAGGGACCAGCAGCCAGGGAAGGTTGCTAGAGGGGCAGAGAATGCAGAGTAGAGCTTTCACTTTCAGCGGAAATCTGAGAGCTCCCAACTAACCTATGAACTGGCTGTCAAAGATATGGTAGGTCCCAGGATCATTCTGGAAGAGAATTTTTTTTAAATTTATCTTTGAGTAAAGAAAAAAAACCATTACATTCCTTTGAAGTTTTTAAATCTGTCTCCTTATTTAAGGTGAAAGAACCTGGTGTGGAGCCTGGGAGAGCTGGAGTTGGGCTCCTGTCCTTGTGTGCAGATGTCTTGAGATTGATCAAATAGGAGTGGTTTGGGAGAAACTGGTCATGTGAAGCTGTGCCTTCTCCTCCAGGGCTTTCTTGCACAGAGGAACATTGTGCTCTTTGTCTTTCAGCTCCAAAAATAGCAGGGAAGTCTGCTCCATACACTTAGGCCTGCTAACGCTCCCAGGGGAGTTTGCAGGGCACATCCCAGTGATGCAGGAGGTGAAAGCATGAGTTTGAGGCTAGCTTGGGCACTATAGCAAGACTCTGTGTCAAAGAGAAATGACCAGAAAAGCTGCATACTGCGGCGCAGAGAACTGATCAAGTTTTGGGCAATCACTTCATCTCTGGGTACCTAGTTGCTTCCTCTGTAACTGGAATAGTAACAGCGCTTACCTAAGGGAGTCTCAGAATAGTCTTGTGTGTGGTAAAGTGCTTCCAGAAAGCAGCTTAGAGATGTGGTACAGCCTCTGCGGTAGGATTTATCATCATCATCAACACCAGCATTATAAATACCACTTAGGGACCAGGATGGGGTCCTCCATTTGGACAAATACTTGCTCCTCTCCGTGCCTCAGTTTCTCCACCTACCAAAGAAGAAGGTTAGACACGTTGCTCTGGGAGATCCTGTTTTGGTTCCACGGTAGTCACCGGAAGCAGAATATGCTAGCAGGTGTGCGTCTGTTCTTGCCAAATACTGCATATTTTGTGCTTTTTCAAAGTGAGTCATATTTTTTTTAATGCTTTGAGAAATGCAATACATATTAAAGAAAGGCTGAATAGGCTCTTTGATAAAGCCACAGTCCTTTGTAGAATATATTTTCCTACACTGGGCACTGCTAAAGTGGAGTTGAATCTAAATCAGCCCCAGACCACAGATACTCTGGATTAGTGGGATCCAGGAATATTCAAGATGAAACACCTCCCCGAGACCAGGCTAGGCAGGTTCCCAAGATGGATCAGTAGATTCAAATTGCTGTTCTGTCCCCAACCCCTAAGTGCAACCCCTCCAGCCTTTGCTCTTTGTCCCTGGAGGCATGCAATCCCCACCTGGGATTTTTGCATCATGTTCTCATCGGTGTGGATCAGCCTTCCACCTGGCCCTCGCTGCAAAACTTTCCTCGTCATTGTCCTCTATAGCTTGACAAATGTGAACATAAATGTGTGGGAGTGTGTGTACTGGGGCTCCAGCTGGGTGCTAGGTGGGAAGGTTGACTGATGTAACAATGGCCACTTAGTTTAAGTGTCTTGTTTTGCCAAAACAGCTTCCTCTTGATATAGCAACAATGGGGTGGACTGTGCCTGGGCCGGCGAGTAGGATGGTAGTGGAGGTAGCAAAACGGAAGACGCCACAAGGAACCCAGCTTGCAGCTGAGCAAGAGGCCTGGGCAGCCCCAGGTGGAGGCTGATTCCTCTTCAAGAGAAGCAGCAACCAAAACAGCTCCAGTGTCCTTCCCAACGCACCAGCCCAGAGCTGTGCCAGCACCCCAGTATGGCAGGGAGGGAAGACATAATCACCCTGAAGGACGAAGGCAGGAAACATCATTTGCTCGGCAATAGTGGGCACTCAAGAAATGAATGGAGCGATAAATGAACAGGAGGTGTTTTGATGCCAATCTAATAGAGCTCTCCTGGGCTCACTCATGTGTGCAGAATGCATCCTGAGCCAGGAGGAATGGTAATGCTCATGTAAGGAGCTCATTTGCAAGGTCTTTGTAGTAGCTGCTTCTTTTGTTCAAATGAAATGTCATGCAGAGGCCACTGTGTGAAACTGAAAAGCGGATTTTGTCTCTCTGGGGTGGGGCGAAAACTCAGAGCTCTGCCATAGCCCTTGGTGCTGATCTCCACAGCGACGGAGTACTAGGAAATGGCTGATTGGCCACCCTTTCATTTATACATGAAGGAACTGAGATGTGACTATCCCCACATGAGCCGGCCAGCAGCAGAGACGAGATCCCTGTTCCTGTAGTGCTTTGGGCACTGGAGGCCTTCCAGGTCCTTAGTCTGATTCACAAGCCAGGGGGGTCTATGGTGCATGTAGGGAAGCTGGTGCTGGGTGCAAGGAGCGGGTAGCTGCAAATTTGCCTGCCTCTGAGAGTCCTGTTTCTGGGGTTTCTCCAGGCTCAAGAAGGATAGTAGAAGAAAGCCCCTGTTCCAAGTGGCACAATGAAGCCTGAGTGAGGCAATGAGGAGAAAGAAGCCCTATTCCACTTCAACCCCAGCTAGTCTGGTCCATATGGGGATGATCCCGGCTCAGGATATGTTTTAGGCCCCAAGTTCCAATGTCTCTTGGAATGCTGGTGTCCTTGGTGGGGGTTGGGAGCACCTCTTCCCGCCTCCTCCTGAATGCTGGGGCTCCAGCCCCTGTTTCTGCCTGTGCCCATCTATTTGAAAGCCCTTGGTATTCAAGGTGACTGGAAAAGTGGGAGGTCAGGGGTCTCAGTCTTGGAAAGGGCCCTTCTTCACTGGAGGGTGGAAAGGCAGACACAGACTAAGAATGGTGCCAGGGGCCCAGGCTTCTAACCCTGCTTATGTCCCCTACCTGCCTTTGTGACCTTGGACCAGTCACAAGTTCTCTCTGAGACTCAATGCCTTATTGCTAAAATAAAAGACTAGGACTTTCTAAGTCCTTCCAGCTGTGACAGCCTATGACATGCTCAGCCTGTGCCCCGGGTAGTGGTTTTAGGAAGCAGTGGCTGGAGGAGGGAGCTTGGCTGGGATCTGGAATTGCGCCTGCCTCAGGCGGTGAAGCTATGGTGTCACTGCTGCTACCACCACCGCGCTCATTCTTCAGGCAGGGTCCTTCTTGCGGTCTTCCTGGGACTCTGAGCAACAACCTGTCAGAGTCCAGGCTGTAGCCACTCATGTATGGGAGGGTGCCAAGGCAGGACTTCCCTAGGGCTCCTTGATTAGCTCCCCACCCTCACCAGGTGAGGTTCCAAGGGGCAGAGTCTTCGGGAAACCATAAAAATGTCCCACTTGCCTGGGGCCACAGACTCCACCCCTGAGACCTGAGGTTTAGAGAGCACTGGACTGGAAACATGGGGCCTTGGCATGTTTTAGTCCCTGCTTTGCAGTCAGAGTGACCCAAGCAACTTGGGGCAAAGCACACGTTCCAGGCTGCTACTTCCTAGTGTCCAGGAAATTCTTGGGACAAGGGCCTCAGAGCCGGGGCCCACTCTTCTCAGCTCTCTTCCTGGCCCAACCTTCTTTGCCTTTCTTGGGATCCCTGCCCAGCAACTTCCCATGCTACCCCTGCCCCACAGTATCTGGAGGCTCCAGGCATCCTTCGAATAGGATCCCCCAGGTGCTTCCAAGATACAGCCAGGTGGTAATGGCAGCCTGGGATGAGGCCCTGTTTCATGGCATAGGAAGAGCATGGGAAACCCCAAAGATAACCCCAGAGGCAACCTTGGTGTAGAGGG